CCTCTGATTCTGTCTGAGAGAACAGCAGATCGCGGCTGAATCACCGAGCGGAATAAAAACCTACCTTTGGCGATCGCTTTAATATCGGTATTTTTTACTTCTGTCTATTTTTCATTCAAGGTAGATCTTTGAACGGAACATGCCCTCGTCGTGACAATGCTTGTTCCTGTCCTTCTTCTGAAGGACTTCGCTGTTCGGGTGGTTTCGTGAACAGCTACTATTGGTGAACGTTTTCTAAGTCTGCCAACCATAGATAAGCACTGGGATTCGCTTGCTAGCAGTTTCGCGGGGAAGGCCAGACAAAAGTAATCAGTATGTAAGTGAGATACGAATGTAACTAATGAAAGTGCGTTTACGACCAACCGATGGTCAGTGGTCATCGTATCGACCCGTCCGTAGATCCAGTGTTTTAATCACGGTAATCTAACCTCACCGCTGGGAGGAAGTCTTTAAGAAGAGCACATCACACTTCTGGAAAATAATTAGTGCGTATGTCCCTTTGCCAAACAAACTATTTATTAATGGGTAAATGAACATCGCGGAAACCGATGCGAACTCAGTAGTCCAACACCTCATTCAATTTACTGGAAAGGAAAACAGGCTACAATGGTGATAAAGAACATGAAAAACCCAGCGAGATATTCGTGAATCTCATAATGTTTCCGATTTTTATACTCATTCATCATTGAAAATACATTAACTGTCCTTGTGTGAAACAAGTCAGTTGGGTTAAAAGGTCACTTATTTATACCAGTATCAATTCGATTTCTGATAGTATTTTTTTAAATTGAAATTTCGTTCCCTCTTTCTCCTACTTTTCCATGCGCCCCATATCTACGTCGCTTAGTGATAGGTTCAGCGAATTCCCTCATTATTACATTGATTCTAAAATTCGATATGTCCGGGTGCCTCAAACGTACACCGACGAACTGCTTAACCCTGCAACTCCGACTAGCTACTTGTGCTCTGTAGACATTCTGTAGCCCGTTCTCTGTATTCTCACCCGCTAAGCTGAGAAAAGGCTTCCGGTGATCTCGATGTGGGACTGATGAGATACCGCGACTGGTGGGGTCATTTCCCCCCAGTGTTTAGACGTATCTCATCTCATCTTATTGCGCACGTAGTGTTGCGGTCCGATTGGTGTTCTTGTTCAGTGCATTCAATATGTGCGTATTTGCAGTTTCTTACGCTGAGTTATATAAGTTTTCTTTTAGAAGTTAAGGTTGTACGCTTTTCGCCTAGTCGTCTTGGTCTAACCATGATCTGGAGTCTGTTTACTTTGCTCGAAAGATAAGTGAATGTGAGCACATCCGGTCTCACCTTGGATGTCCTAACTAGATTCTGAATAACGAAACGCATAAATCTCAAACCGGGCGGAATCGAAGCCTGTGAGTTTGGCTGGCGCAATGAACGAATGAAGATGAATACCGGCTTAATGATCCAAAATGCATTTTCTTCCCTCACGGCTCACTTCAGTAATGCCAATTCGTTGATTTTTCTTAGTTAACTATCTACCTTTATTGGGGAAAATCCATAATTATACGTCAAAAAACATTCCGTAGAAACAAAATCGCAATAAGCACCACGAGTTTCGATCATTGTATATTTTGAAAATTATCCGTCGACAGCGAAACGCTTAACGAATTGCAGATATATTCGAAGCTATTGTTACAGATCGAAATCGACTACGTTGTCTAGATTGGTAGTTTAAACCTTTACAATCCCCAATAAGGTGTATCAAGCATGAGGCACCAGCTATGAGATGCTGTTCCGTAAGGTTTGCCTTTATGTGTCGAAACGGTGTATTATTTCGTCCAACCATTGTTTCAGCTAGTCATGGTAGTTAGTATTCAGGCCGACAGATGAACAAAACTTTTGTCGTNCGCATCGAATTCAGATCAATAGGCTTCGCTGGTTGGAAAAGTTTTGCGTTCAGTTCAGTTTATACGACCATCAACCATGCACTGTCGTGAACATGAACATTAAGAGAAAGGCAGGAAAGTTGAAAGAAAGAAGTTGAGAAGATGCTCGAACACCACTGTTTCCGACCCTCAACCATATCACTCATTGTCTCTAACCATCGATTACGACCATCCCGAGGTCCCATCCAGGGACCTATTTGACCCATTCCCCTGATCAGGGTTTTCGTACCCTCGTGNNTCGTGTCAGGTCCTAGGTTGATCACCCTTGGCTTTTTTCACTCGCTACCTAGCTCGGCGAACATCGCTCGCCGTAGCAACCTAGCTGGTGACATGCGTAACACTTGTCTCAACCAACGTAATCTGTGGAGGTCGAACACTTGCTCCAGTGGGCGACCGCGGCTACCCAACACTGCACCTAACGTTTTCCGTTCGTCCGACGGTCATCTACCGCAGAGCGCCTTATTTGCAGTAGCTATTGCAGAATGGAGAAGGCCAGCAGATGACATGGAGACAAGGTATGAAGAAATACACAGAGCGGCTAGGTAGAGTAGGTGTCTCTCATCTTCCGGGTTGTGGTCCAAAAGACTCCGTGACTGGATGGTTGGAGACACTGAAGGTCATGTCATCAAAGCGACAGCAGTGGCGTTCTTGTTGTCACTTCTTATCAGTCCAGAATGCTTGAAATAGTACTACACATTCTCACTTACCTTTTATGAATTATGAGTTTAGCAGCGATCAGTTAAGTTCGCTTCACTGTATTACACTACATTGGTGATGATGGGAAAATTAGGATAAGATGCAAGACCAATATTGGTTCGATTTTTCGCCCTCTTACACTGAAATCGATGCTGAAACGTTTTCTAACAAATCAATGAGCGTTATTTATTTAATTAATGTTTTTTTACCCATGATGCACCTTATTACTAAATACCCAGTTCCTTATATATCGGCGCACGTGTGTTACCAGTTGTTTCGCATCTAATAGTGGTTTCTATTAGGGGGTGTGTGTGGCTATCGTTTAGGTACGCCACGATGTGTGCAGTCGCGTGATACATATAAAGGCAGCGCCAG